AAAAAAATAAATCTGTGGCTTCTCTTTCTGAGGAGCAGGATTAAAGGCAACTAGCATATAGCAATGGCTATCGTTTCAAATCATGTTGCAGGTACAGCTAGCAGCTTCTCTGTCACTGCCACTTCAAACGATGATTAAGATTCACATTCTAGGATTTATGCGTTCTCATTCTGCTTAGAGCAACATACTGACCAACAACATGAAGATATGCTGAATTTCGAGACAAACAGAACTCCTAAAATGCCTTGACATACAAAAAAAAAAAAAACAGAAAAAAAGTCAACATGAGACATAAGAACAATAAAAAAAAAGAAGTGTTTTGCCACGTAGTCCTGTAGCACTAGTGTGACATACTGATGGTAATTTTGTCACAGGAATCAGCAACTTTGTGATGTGCAGCTCAGGTTTCGGTACCATTCTCAAAGTTAGTCCTAAATGTTTGCGATGAAGAACACTTAGAGCAACATACTGACCAACAACATGAACAGAACTCCTAAAATGCCTTGACATACAAAAAAAAAAAAAAAACAGAAAAAAAGTCAACATGAGACATAAGAACAATAAAAAAAAAGAAGTGTTTTGCCACGTAGTCCTGTAGCACTAGTGTGACATACTGATGGTAATTTTGTCACAGGAATCAGCAACTTTGTGATGTGCAGCTCAGGTTTCGGTACCATTCTCAAAGTTAGTCCAAAATGTTTGCGATGAAGAACATACCGAGTTTCTGTTTCAGACTAACAAATTGGTCACTAGTCCAGTAGCCAAAACCATCTGCTTTACCTCCTCATCATAACCTAAATGAATGAACTGGTTCTAGACTGGGCCCTGGAGGTAATAGACCAGAGTTTAAGAGCAAAGCAGTATGTTTTGTAAGAGAACAATGTTATATTTCTGCCATGGTGTGTATATAAGACTAACGTAGCTGCCTTAACCTGAACTTGTCTCGCTAAGTTATTATAGAGTGCTATCCCAAATTGCACTACTAGCAATATGCAGCTGTATTTTGGCTCTATCCATGCAGAGTTTGCATCTCTGTGCACAAAATAGCCACTAAGACTACAAATAGACTATAATAGAAGCATACAGAGAATAAGGGACTGAGCCTAGATGAGTGTTGATGAGACAAAATTAACTCAGCTTTGTCCAAATATGAGAAGTTTCATCTTGTTGAGTTCAGTTGTGGATCAGAAATGAAATAACCAAATAAAATAACATGAATGGCACAACTATTCAAGCAAACGCCACATGGAAGGTCAGCAAACATGGTATTAATTGAGACTCCAAATCTTCATCTCTAGTTCATTCTCTATTTTTAATTTTCTCTTTCTTTCATCTATCCTTCTACACTGTCAACATTTTACTCAGCATTTTGTCTTGTTTTCCAGTCAAAATATCTAAACATACTTTAAACCAAAAATAATTACTTGAGAGGCAAAACTGCACAAGATATAATACTATTGAATTAAGTTTTTCTTACCCTATAGTTTTTTCTTTATTGTTGTAAGCATAAATCAACAATTTAGTGGTTTATGTTTGTAACAAGAAAATAAAAGAATTTGCAAAAAGATGTAATTATTAACATTACTCCAGCCTTCTGTCACATGATTCTCCAGAAATCGTTTGAATATGCTACTTTGGCGCTTAAGATACTTTTCTTATTTTTGAAAAGAGTTGTGCTGCTTAATATTTTTGTGGAATGCGTGATACATGTGTTTTTTTTTCTGGATTCTATGATGAACGTATGTTTACATTTGATTGAAATAGAAATCCTTTATAACAAATGTCTCTATAGTCACTTTGGCCATTTTAAAAGTAACAAACATATCATGTTTTAAGGATGTTTGGATATTTTTACTGGAAAACTAAAATGCTGAGCTTCTGCAGTGTGGGGTTTACTCGTCCCTCATCTTCTTCTATTGACTAAGGAAATCGATGCTCGCTTTGACACTGCGAGAGGTTGCCACGTCGACAGCCATGGCTCTTATCTCAGTGTCTCCAAACTGCATGAGCGTCTGGATCTCTCTTCGTGCCGCCGGACTCTCAGTACCGCTCACATCCAGCTTCAGTGTACCACACTTCCTCACGCCTGGGTCCGTGATGAAACTGACCGACTCTTTTTCTGAGCAGTATACGTGAATGACGATCACTTGCTGTGACGGCTTCGCCGGCGTGTAGCTGCGTTTTACCGTTTCACCCAGCGCCACTGACTGATCGACAGAGATGAATGTATCGAAGACATCGGTGCACCAGCGCGTACTGCCCTTCACAAGCAACTTCTCCGGCGGGTGCTTCCCCTCTACCAGAACTCCTAAAATGCCTTGACATACAAAAAAAAAAAAAACAGAAAAAAAGTCAACATGAGACATAAGAACAATAAAAAAAAAGAAGTGTTTTGCCACGTAGTCCTGTAGCACTAGTGTGACATACTGATGGTAATTTTGTCACAGGAATCAGCAACTTTGTGATGTGCAGCTCAGGTTTCGGTACCATTCTCAAAGTTAGTCCTAAATGTTTGCGATGAAGAACATACCGAGTTTCTGTTTCAGACTAACAAATTGGTCACTAGTCCAGTAGCCAAAACCATCTGCTTTACCTCCTCATCATAACCTAAATGAATGAACTGGTTCTAGACTGGGCCCTGGAGGTAATAGACCAGAGTTTAAAAGCAAAGCAGTATGTTTTGTTCTGCCATGGTGTGTATATAAGACTAACGTAGCTGCCTTAACCTGAACTTGTCTCGCTAAGTTATTATAGAGTGCTATCCCAAATTGCACTACTAGCAATATGCAGCTGTATTTTGGCTCTATCCATGCAGAGTTTGCATCTCTGTGCACAAAATAGCCACTAAGACTACAAATAGACTATAATAGAAGCATACAGAGAATAAGGGACTGAGCCTAGATGAGTGTTGATGAGACAAAATTAACTCAGCTTTGTCCAAATATGAGAAGTTTCATCTTGTTGAGTTCAGTTGTGGATCAGAAATGAAATAACCAAATAAAATAACATGAATGGCACAACTATTCAAGCAAACGCCACATGGAAGGTCAGCAAACATGGTATTAATTGAGACTCCAAATCTTCATCTCTAGTTCATTCTCTATTTTTAATTTTCTCTTTCTTTCATCTATCCTTCTACACTGTCAACATTTTACTCAGCATTTTGTCTTGTTTTCCAGTCAAAATATCTAAACATACTTTAAACCAAAAATAATTACTTGAGAGGCAAAACTGCACAAGATATAATACTATTGAATTAAGTTTTTCTTACCCTATAGTTTTTTCTTTATTGTTGTAAGCATAAATCAACAATTTAGTGGTTTATGTTTGTAACAAGAAAATAAAAGAATTTGCAAAAAGATGTAATTATTAACATTACTCCAGCCTTCTGTCACATGATTCTCCAGAAATCGTTTGAATATGCTACTTTGGCGCTTAAGATACTTTTCTTATTTTTGAAAAGAGTTGTGCTGCTTAATATTTTTGTGGAATGCGTGATACATGTGTTTTTTTTTCTGGATTCTATGATGAACGTATGTTTACATTTGATTGAAATAGAAATCCTTTATAACAAATGTCTCTATAGTCACTTTGGCCATTTTAAAAGTAACAAACATATCATGTTTTAAGGATGTTTGGATATTTTTACTGGAAAACTAAAATGCTGAGCTTCTGCAGTGTGGGGTTTACTCGTCCCTCATCTTCTTCTATTGACTAAGGAAATCGATGCTCGCTTTGACACTGCGAGAGGTTGCCACGTCGACAGCCATGGCTCTTATCTCAGTGTCTCCAAACTGCATGAGCGTCTGGATCTCTCTTCGTGCCGCCGGACTCTCAGTACCGCTCACATCCAGCTTCAGTGTACCACACTTCCTCACGCCTGGGTCCGTGATGAAACTGACCGACTCTTTTTCTGAGCAGTATACGTGAATGACGATCACTTGCTGTGACGGCTTCGCCGGCGTGTAGCTGCGTTTTACCGTTTCACCCAGCGCCACTGACTGATCGACAGAGATGAATGTATCGAAGACATCGGTGCACCAGCGCGTACTGCCCTTCACAAGCAACTTCTCCGGCGGGTGCTTCCCCTCTACGAAACGGTTCAGGACGCCCACGCCGTAGGTGAGTGGAGAGCGGCGGACCTTTATGATGCTGGGATCCAGGCCGAACAACACCGCCCCCTTGAGGATGGTCAAGCCCACGTCATGCGGAATAATAATTCGGCTGCGGCCCTGAAGCATCTTCTGAACCGCCTGTTGCAGCAGAGCAGACTCTGCGAATCCTCCCACCAGGAAAAGAAACTTAATGTCTGTCACCTCTGGCCTATCGAATAACTCAGCTGGAGAACATATAGAAGAACGAAAGCAGAGAAAAAAATGAATTCGCCTTTGCGAATTAAAACAATTTTTTTTATTAGTCTATTACAAGATTCATCACAAAACATTTTAACACATGGGAATTTAACCAAAGAATGTTATGCACTCCTTCGGTTTTTATCAAAATGACAAAGACAAAAATCCAGTTTACTAGCAGTGTAGAATAAGGGACTGAGCCTAGATGAGTGTTGATGAGACAAAATTAACTCAGCTTTGTCCAAATATGAGAAGTTTCATCTTGTTGAGTTCAGTTGTGGATCAGAAATGAAATAACCAAATAAAATAACATGAATGGCACAACTATTCAAGCAAACGCCACATGGAAGGTCAGCAAACATGGTATTAATTGAGACTCCAAATCTTCATCTCTAGTTCATTCTCTATTTTTAATTTTCTCTTTCTTTCATCTATCCTTCTACACTGTCAACATTTTACTCAGCATTTTGTCTTGTTTTCCAGTCAAAATATCTAAACATACTTTAAACCAAAAATAATTACTTGAGAGGCAAAACTGCACAAGATATAATACTATTGAATGAGTTTTTCTTACCCTATAGTTTTTTCTTTATTGTTGTAAGCATAAATCAACAATTTAGTTTGTAACAAGAAAATAAAAGAATTTGCAAAAAGATGTAATTATTAACATTACTCCAGCCTTCTGTCACATGATTCTCCAGAAATCGTTTGAATATGCTACTTTGGCGCTTAAGATACTTTTCTTATTTTTGAAAAGAGTTGTGCTGCTTAATATTTTTGTGGAATGCGTGATACATGTGTTTTTTTTTCTGGATTCTATGATGAACGTATGTTTACATTTGATTGAAATAGAAATCCTTTATAACAAATGTCTCTATAGTCACTTTGGCCATTTTAAAAGTAACAAACATATCATGTTTTAAGGATGTTTGGATATTTTTACTGGAAAACTAAAATGCTGAGCTTCTGCAGTGTGGGGTTTACTCGTCCCTCATCTTCTTCTATTGACTAAGGAAATCGATGCTCGCTTTGACACTGCGAGAGGTTGCCACGTCGACAGCCATGGCTCTTATCTCAGTGTCTCCAAACTGCATGAGCGTCTGGATCTCTCTTCGTGCCGCCGGACTCTCAGTACCGCTCACATCCAGCTTCAGTGTACCACACTTCCTCACTCCTGGGTCCGTGATGAAACTGACCGACTCTTTTTCTGAGCAGTATACGTGAATGACGATCACTTGCTGTGACGGCTTCGCCGGCGTGTAGCTGCGTTTTACCGTTTCACCCAGCGCCACTGACTGATCGACAGAGATGAATGTATCGAAGACATCGGTGCACCAGCGCGTACTGCCCTTCACAAGCAACTTCTCCGGCGGGTGCTTCCCCTCTACGAAACGGTTCAGGACGCCCACGCCGTAGGTGAGTGGAGAGCGGCGGACCTTTATGATGCTGGGATCCAGGCCGAACAACACCGCCCCCTTGAGGATGGTCAAGCCCACGTCATGCGGAATAATAATTCGGCTGCGGCCCTGAAGCATCTTCTGAACCGCCTGTTGCAGCAGAGCAGACTCTGCGAATCCTCCCACCAGGAAAAGAAACTTAATGTCTGTCACCTCTGGCCTATCGAATAACTCAGCTGGAGAACATATAGAAGAACGAAAGCAGAGAAAAAAATGAATTCGCCTTTGCGAATTAAAACAATTTTTTTTATTAGTCTATTACAAGATTCATCACAAAACATTTTAACACATGGGAATTTAACCAAAGAATGTTATGCACTCCTTCGGTTTTTATCAAAATGACAAAGACAAAAATCCAGTTTACTAGCAGTGTTGTCCCTGTTTGTAGTTTTTGTTTGAACAGATTCAGATCACAGCTGGGCTCAACCAACATAAGAGCCAAGGGACTGAGTTCTGTCCCAGTTCTGTGAGAGTATTTTGGGCAGATTGTTGAGACTTCCCTGACTGGGCCAACGCTTGCCCTAATTGTGTCTCCCAGTGGCTCATTAGTTTATACAGCTTGACACATTCTACTAATGCCTGGAATACACTACACAACTTTTGCCCAGATTTTTGCCCCAGTTTGCAGTCTGGAGGAGTTGGCACTAGTTGTCTAAATATTGGGCATATACTGGGCAGTCAGCTGAAAATCACATAATATATTTTAGGCTGTTTTTCAGCTTCAGAATATGATTCCATGTTTTATATTTTGGGATACTATACTATACCATACCAATAAAAAGAAATATAAATATTAGATGTGGAAACTTAAATGAAAATGAAAAATGCTGCCTTGACAACTACTGAAATAAATAAGATTTAAGCTGAAGTACTAAAATAAATAAAACTAAAACTGAAATAAAATTAAAATAAAGCTATAAAGAAATATAGAAAAATTACAAAAAACTCACAAGAGACAAAAACACATAACGAAATTACTAAAAATTAAAACAGAAAATATAAAAAGAAAAGCTAATTCAAAATATTAATAAATGCTATAATATTATATAAAAATAATAAAATAACAGATTATATGTTGTTAAAATATTGTTGTTATACATGTTACTGTTATGTTATGAGATTGGTATGCTGAAAGATTATGTAATGTTATGTTATACAGCCTTTTAGCAAAATGTAGTCTGGAATGTCTGAAGGGATGAAAGGAATTTATATTATTTTCTCCTCTTTAAACTTTCAGCTAAATTTCTGGTTACTCTTGCTTACTGGTGCACCTTTACTGTGGATTTATACTTTTTGACAGCTTTCTGGTTAAATATTGATGCCATTTCATCTGACATACAAAGACAATTAAATAAATAACCATGATCTGATCCTGATGAATTAAATCATTTAATTAAATACTATTAAAAATGACATAATTAATCACTTATATAATTCTTATTTCAGTGTTTCATGATGCATGTAGCAAGCCCTCCCTTTAACACCCAAATACAGACAACTGACACTCCCATCTCACTTTAAACTCTAGAAATCAATATCATATTATTGTTCCAGTAAATTACTGCGTAGTTACTCACTCAGGTGCTGTATAATGTGGTCTATAGTTGGTTTGAACAGTGCATTCATTGCATCTGGATTCATCCTCAGCATGCCCTGCGAAGACCACTTCACAAAGTCCACACTGCAGAGGAGAGACAAAAACAGAGAGAGAGAGAGTTATAGACTGAAACAAATAACAGATTCTCCTCATTTGGCCTCGGTGCAGTTTAAAAGTCATCTTCACATATGGAAGAATATTGAGAAACTTGATATTATTGAGTTTACATTATTAGGTTTTCCACTGCTATAAAAGTCAGTGCATGTGTGCTAATAGCTGTGGTTTCCAGTAAACAGATGCACATATTCCCATATGGCAGCGCTGTGCAGTTTGATGTAGGGCTGAACGAGTCGAGTGCTCAGAGATGCCTGACTCGCAGGCTTGTTGGAAAAACTGTCCCATGTGAGACATGAGAGCTCAAAATCCATAACGTGCAAGTTAGAGTAGTCTTACTCATGGCTCGCAAATGATTATCTAATTACTGTGTTAGGAAAGAATACAAAAATTTAACCATTAAACGATGCAAATAATAAACCAGGTTCACATTTTCGAAATAACAGAAAGATAAAACTAGATAATTTCGCCTCTTAATTGGATTTTGTGTCAGATCTGATACGTTTGCTCAGGAAGCAGCCATTACAACTAGTTTTAGAAGACTCTAAATGTAATCTCTTGGCTGCGATGCTAAGAAATTATAGCCGCATGCATAAAATTATGATGCTACCAGACAGAAGCCTCTGTAAGCAATTATCTAATTAACAAAATTACTTGCCTATAAGCAAATCTGTTAGAGCTACTGGGTGAAAGTTACATAAATTAATATTCATGACGAGCTGAAAATAATTCATAATGTGCCCTCTCTCTCCCCTTTTGTAGATTTTCTTGTTCCTATGCCACTTGATTATGAGTGTTTCGCACATAGTCAGCAGTCACACACACAAACAAACATAGTATTCATTTAGCTGACTTGGCCATCTTTATTCAGGGCCTGATGGCTTATTGAATGGCTGTGTGTACGGTATTGACAGCAGTCATGAATAGACAGATTAACTCTCCAGGGGCTGTAGGTCACACATGCCTGACCTCAAAAGAGACAGACAACAATTACCACAAAGGCAGAGACAGCAGGACTCACAACAGTCACCACTTTATGAATACAGAGAAATGCATCAAACTTGACTGGACTGTATTAATGGGTGATTTCTACTACAGCGTTTTAAGACACTCACTTGCTCTTCCTCAGCGCATGCTCTACGCTGTGTCCTCTGAATTTCTTGTAGTAGTCGATGAAAGAGAAGGGCAGGTTAATATTCAACGGGTTGCTTCGGTCAGGAGTCGCCGCCCTCTTACGAGACTCAAACGCAATCATCAGATCCACCCAGGCAGCAGGACGCTTGATCTTAAACTGGTCAATGAAATCCTGTCCGAATATCTTACACAGGAGCTTCTCAAATTCATAATCTATACCGATAGAGCCGTATGGGCCTCCTGCGGAGAGAATGAAAGATAAAAATCATTTCGGATGATTGGAAATAGTGACATTTCAGAATAGCAGACCGCTTTTCATAGGAAATAAAAGCTTTTTAAGCAAAATGTTAATCTCAAGCTACAGGTCATAAAAGCTGTGTCTTATACCTGAGGCTTTGTAAAGCTCCTTCAAGTGCCCTTCCGGCATGCGGATCTGATGCACAGTAAGATCCACCGTCCCTCCTCCACAATCCACAACCACATAACGGTCACCTAGAGAGCACCAGAAACAACATTTGAGGGTCACCAGCAAAAAATTAATCAGGATGGATTTACATCTCGTCTGGTGACATTTGACACTTTTTCAGGAACTCTCTGCAGATGTTGGATGTGAGTGACGCTGACATGTCCGCCAAGTACATTGCAAGGTGTCAGAGGAACAGTGACCTACATTCAGGGGTCACTGATTGGTACCCTCAAGTAGAAGCCTTTGGAATTAAAATTCTATGTAGGTTCTGTTAAATATTCACAAACTGACTGTATGAGATTACTGTATATTTAAAGAGACAGTCCACCCAAAAAAATAAAAAATACATTTTACTCTCTCATGATGGTCCAAACCCATATGACTTTTTCCATAAACGAGCATACTGGACATTATGCAAAATATCTTCATTTGTATTCCACAGAAGAAGAAATAAAATCATATAGACATGGAATAAAATACAATGAGTACATTTTCATTTTTTAAGCAAACTGTCCCTTTAACATAGAAAATTTACTGAAATTTGAATGATTTTGAAGAATTTTAATTTGCGTGGGGGTTATTCCAGCAGTGATGAATAGGCAAAGTGTGCTGAGGCAATACTGATGGTTGAGCAGCTGCTGATTCAGACAGCAGAATAAGGGTAGGGCTCACCAGAGCAGGGATTTCAAACTAAGCATCTTATCTTCTCAGCAAGGGTGCATCTAGTCTCAATAGACACATTCAAGGACCACCCACAGTCTGTTTGCTGACTGTCCAATGCATATTACACGCAAAAATGTAATGTAATTTTACAATATAATACTGCCACCTTTTACAGTGAAAAAAATTAATAAACTGACAAGAAATTCACAGAATTGTCTGTGATAGCTCACATTTTACAGTTTTTGATTGACATAAATGTTTCGGTAACACTTTAGAATAGGGGACACTTATTCACTATTAACTACGACTTTTCCCTCAATAAATTCCTTATTTGCTGCTTATCAATAGTTAGTAAGGTAGTTGTTAAGTTTAGGTATTGGGTAGGATTAGGGATGTAGAATAAGGTCATGTAGAATTAGGCATTAATTTGTGCTTAATTAGTACTAGTAAATGGCTAATATTCTAGTAATATGCATGCTAATAAGCAACTAGTTAAGAAACCCTAAAATAAAGTGTTACCAATGTTTTTTGGTTTTTTTTACTGCAAATTTTAGTTCAACCTGTAAAAATGTTACTACTGTTTTTTTCCCTCTGGCAACCACAGCTGTTTTTATTTTTTTTATCATTTTCTTTTTTTTTAATCACAAATGTCACATAGTTTTTACAGTGTATGCACAGACAGGCTAAAATTCTAAACCTGTTGCCTATACACATTTTCCACTCTTTTAAATGCATTATCTATATACAACCACGCATTAAAACAAACTTTTTTTTTTACTGCAAATTTTAGTTCAACCTGTAAAAATGTTACTACTGTTTTTTTCCCTCTGGCAACCACAGCTGTTTTTATTTTTTTTTATCATTTTCTTTTTTTTTAATCACAAATGTCACATAGTTTTTACAGTGTATGCACAGACAGGCTAAAATTCTAAACCTGTTGCCTATACACATTTTCCACTCTTTTAAATGCATTATCTATATACAACCACGCATTAAAACAAACCAAACAGCAATTGGTCGCTTTACATGTCAGTCAGACAGTCTCTTCCTCTTTGAGTTGGTGGTTCTTGGGCAGAATAAGCTGCACTGAAGTACTTGTTTTTTGCTGTAAGGTCTCTGGCTATGTGAGACTAGTGTGCATCCTTCCTAAGAGCTTCAGAATTTAGGATTTCTTAACTTACTGTATGACAGCAGCATCAGAAACAGCAGGAGCAAAATACTACAAGAAAAAAAAATGTGTGTGAGAAGACAGACTCTACCTTCAGTGAGTTCAGACCAGAGCTCTCCTATGACATTCTCCACCAGAAAGGTACGGCTCTGTCGGTTACGGCGCACATGCTCCTTGGCTGGTTATTGACAGAGAGAGACAGGAAGTGTGTGTGAGAGGGAAGGCAGCGTGAAGCTGTTTGTGTGTGTGTGTGGCAGTTCTATAGGCAATGCGACAGGATGAAAAAGGAACATGGGCTGAATGTGGTTTCTGTAAGCAGGGGGATGCTGCTGGAAAAGAAGTTCCAATGGAATGCAAGACTCCTTTAACTTCAGGCAAATTCATGAAATTTCAAGAAAAGCAGTGAAACTGCTGTAATGTTTTGTTACTTACTTATCTAAAACTTCAATTTCAGGGACATCAAATATTAAAGTTCTGGTTGTACCGGATTAGCTGATAATTCTTTCCCTGTTACAGCCGATAATAAAATTCCATACAATTTAGAATAAATTACAACTTAAAACACTAAATATTTAAATAATTTTAAATGCTAAAAGTGAATTTAGACATCACAACATTATAAATGTACAGCATGAACAATGGATATTTCTTGTGATATGCTAATTATTACATTTAACAGTGTTTACATTGTTAAATTGTATTTTAAAGAGTAACTTTAATGACTATCCACAATTAAATATCCAATATCAACTGATACCAATAAATGAAAAAAATTGTCTAATATCGGACAATGACCGCTATGGTACCAATATATTGTGCATCCCTAGAAATGTTCAAACATGCAACTCTCTTTAGTTGGGGGGGAAAACATTTTTGTGCATTTTTCCTGTAATACAGACACTGTTAATCAAATGAATTGAAATAACCTGCATTAGATTATCGGATTCTAATTTAGATTACTACATTGTATTAACCCCCTGTGGCCCAACCATTATATGTTGCAAATAAGTAAATATTTAACTAAAAGCCTGATATGTAAAGTATAATTTTAGCTCAACATTGCAATTAAACCAGTAAGTCTTAAATATTTAGTGCATCTTTCCACGATTATTCCACTGAAAGACTTCCTCTCTTTTTCACTTTTGTGAACTTCCTGACTGTGACCAGAATGTAAAAATCTCTGTTCATTTACTGTGGAGGGGAAGATTGTCCTGGTCTGATAAAGGGCAGCTGGTCTGATGACATCAGTGGATAATGGCCATCCTGGTAGTTGTAAACATGCCCAAACAGGAAGTGTAAGCTCAGCATGGAGACTGACGGAAGAGTAACGGCATGGAGACTGACATTTCCTCAAGTGTACAGAAAACAGTGAAATGGACCAGCAGACCTTTTTTCAGTATAGTGACAGCTTCTGATGGGGGTGAGAGACCTAACCACTCACACTAGCAGTGTTTAAACCACACAACAGACTCACATCTGAAATTCCTGTACCACCTTGATAGCAAATTCAACACTCATTGCATTCGAAGCCTATTTTAGATGATCTAAACATCAAGTCAGTGACAACAACATGTGTGGATTCAACAAGAGATCATAAACTTCTTTGGTTTTGGATTAAAAAAAATATATAATAAAATAAATAAATAAATAGGATGCATTAACTTCAAATCAAAAAAGCACAGACAAAGAATCCTGATTTTTTTTTATCATGATTTCCACCAAAATATTAAGCAGCACAAATGTTGACATCAACTAACAATAATTAAAAGTTTAACAAATGTGGTTAAGAAACAGATTAAGACAGATTGTTAACATTTAACATTATTAAAATCCTTTGTTAAAATCATCATTGATATTCATAAGTAATGTTTCTTGAGCAACAAATCAGCACATTAGAATGATTTCTGAAGGATCACGTGACACTGAAGACTGGAGTAATGACAGCTTTGCCATCACAGAAATAAATTACATTTTAAAATATATTAAAATAAAAAAGTTATTTTATATTGTATTCATATTTCACAATATCATTGTTTTTACTGTATTTTGATCATATAAATGCACCCTTGGCAAACATAAGAGACTTCCTACAAAAACAGTAAAATACATTACTGACCCCAAACTTCTAAATGTCGTTTGAACATCTCTAATAAATGAAAAAACACATTCAGATGCTCAATAATTTCTGTGAGATATCCCTCAGAGGGACACATTATCCCCTGCCTGTCTCTGACCGCCCTGTACAGTATGTATGTCAAACAGACAGCCCCTCTGCGCTGCTCACTGCTGCCCTGCTCCACAATGGGTCACCACACTCAATTGCTTCCTGTCTCAGGCTCTCAACGCCATCTTAAATTAACCACGTTTTCATTGCTGACCATTGAATATCAAATATACAGGCTATCAGAGCACACATACTACTGCTGGTAGAGTAATCAATAAACACTACTCCTTTTGTCCTTCATCGATTCTTTTTCTCCCTCTCTATCTATAGAACAGCAGGTCAAATGCGATTTCACACTCCTTTCGAATGCATCATGATCATTTAGTTCACATATTTCACCTCTTTTATTTGTCACTGATTGCATCATTACTGCAACTTTTGCTGTTATTTTCAACTTAAAAGCACAAAATCCATCTGATCAAATTCTTTCTCTGTCACTCCTTTTTGTACGTGCAGAGGTTTAGAGTTACAGATGTGCTTGCTGATGACTGTAGAGCTGCTGATGTCATCAGACTGAGGTCACACGAAGGTCACTGCATATATGTACACGTCCACTGAAATAGTTTGTTACAGGAATGATAGTTCTGCTTTAGCTGTCTCAGACACATAATGGACCAAATAACATTCTTATCATTCTTAAATGCTTAAATGTTGACATTAACCAATAATAATTAAAATGTTATCAAATGTGGTTAAGTAACAGATTAAGAAATATTGTCAACATTTTTGGTATAACTGAAATTGTTTTCTTTCCAAGGTAATGCAAGGCATGACCTCAAACAATTACACGATTATGAATAAATGTGCATGCAAACTTAGGAAGAGAGAGGGAAAGGCATTGTGAATTTGCAAAGCTGTTTCTCATGCTGGCATCACCATTCAGCAGTGGTCCAAATGACTGTTACCTTCTGAATGCACATGAAAAATGACTTTCCATTGACATTTCTAAAATCACAGGCCACTAGAATGCTATATACTCAAGTGAAAATACTTTTTTATATATACAGCCCACTGTGTATGTGCATGTGCTGTCAGTCTGTAATAAGGACATGAGCAGGGCAATGGAGGTGAACTGGAATGGACTGAAAGGCATAAATACAGGAAAAAATGCTCTGCCTCTATACAAAACACCTTTATGCCTCAATTTGATGCAATTACATTTTACTTTGGTATGTGACATAAACTGTTTACAGCATATTTACTGTGGAATGTAGGATGTTTCTTCAACTATGGGCACTTCTGACCCTGTGGACTCCTTTAAATCACACTTTTCACACTCATACTAGTTTATTTCATTTGTCCATTTGCCTTATGGCTAATTTCATAAGTCACATTTAATCTAGAATCAGTCCAAAAAATACATATACATAAAAGGCATGTGCAAAGTAAATAATACATAAATGAGATTAATAATAATAATTATTATTATTATTATTTTTAAATGTAAACATCAACCCCTGGGAAAGTAAAGGTGCCCATAGTTGAAATACCACAAAATGGCATCTGTGTGTTCATGCATGGTAGTAAATACACTAGAGTTCAAAAGTTTGGGGCCTTTAAGAATACATTTTGAAAGAAATTTCTTCTGCTCACCAAGGTTGTATTCATTTGATCAAAAATACAGTAAAATAGTAATATTGTAAAATATTACATTTTAAAACAGCTGTTTAAATCTATTTTAATATTTAAAAATCTATTCATCAGAATTCTGACAAACGCATCTATTTGAAATAGAAATCTTTTGTAACAATACACGTCACTTTTGAGCAATTTAATGGGCCTTTGCTGAATAAAAGTATTTTAAAAGTTTTCAAAGTATTTCTTTACAAACAATTTATTGACCCAAACTTTTGAACATTAATGTACATGCAACATCCATCTATCCCTCCCTCCCACTGTTTTCTGCATGCATCATCACCTGGCTTCTCTCCCTCACTGCAGTGAGAGTTTAATAGGCATGTTGGACTGCAGGAATCCTGCAGTTCTAGTTCAGGATTAATCCTCATTTCACTTCTAGTTTAAAATGTTAGAATTGATTTCCATTGCACTGTTAATCTGGTTTAAACTCCCCTTTAGGAAGGAGTGGATGTTGGAAAAAAAATATTATTTTATACTGAGCAATGGAAAAACATCTTTAAAGTTACTACTTTGCTATACTTATTCAACCATTTTTGCTAGATCTGTCTATATCTCTCAAAAAGAAGACCCTACATCATGACCAGCCCAATTTAACTACAGACTATTTGGCCTTTTGAAGAACTAATCTCTGGTCAAAGGTTGGTGGCATCAAAACACATAGACAAAATTATACTCAACAAACATTTAAGTACTGTGACATAAACTTGAGCACGACTGGAACAGTATGAGTATGATTTGGTTTATCCTCATAGCAGAATGCTTGTGGTTCACCTGTAATATGGTAAAAGATTATATAGGTGGCTTACCCTGGGTCATTCCCATCCCAACATTCTCAGTCGGGCTGTAACCGTTCAAGGCCGTTTTGTTGCCCAAATCAACCATTTGGTGGAGACGGAGCTTTCTGCAGTAAATGGACGCAGCCTCTGGTTCCAGAGCAATGATCAGCTGATCAGGGTTTTCACGAGAAACCAAACCAGCCTAGATGAGTACACAGCACAACGGCAAGACATTAAAACAGGAGCCTGAAACCCAGGCTCATCTTGACTTATACATAAAACATACAAATGATTATAAATGAAGCTTTCATTTGATAAATATGAATAAATATGAACATTTATTCTTAGTAAACGTTAAGACTCCAGTAAATTCACATTTACTCATCTAAACATTTAACTGTACTTAATTGAAATAAATCGGTAAAATCGGTAAAATAAATGTTTTCTAATAACATTAAGTATAATAAGGGCTGACCTCAAATTGTATGTTTTTTCAGTATTGTATTTACTTTGCAGTTTTTAAATAAAAAAAACACAAATGGCTGGTCAGTTATATCAAGATCATTTTACCTCACTTCAAATACGAGGAAGTGTAAAAATGTAAAAAAAAAAAAAGCACACACACACACACACGCACACAGTGCTGAGAGACACTGTTTGCTGTTTGGTGAGTTATGGGGCGACAGTGTGAGCAAAATGCAGAGAGCGAGAGACAGAGGTGAGGGAATGCAGTGTCCTTTCTTTCTGTTCTCCTGATCCTGCAGACGGAGAGCTGAGTCACCAAACACACACACACACACACACACACACACATAAAATGTATCAGTTTCCACAAAAATATTTTTGACAATAATAATAATTAACGATCAAGTGACACTAAAATTCAGCTTTGCCATCACGGAAATAGATAACATAAAAAAAAATTAATAGAAAATAGTTACATGAACATTTAATATTTACTATATAACATTTCACATATTAGTTTTACTGTATTTTTATTGTATAAAAATATAACCTTGATAGACATAAAATAGACTTTTTTCAAGAATATCAAAAATATCTTATCAACCCCAAACTTCTGAATGGTAGAGTACATGTTAAAATAATGCAAGTAGGCTGGTTTGAACTGAATGTCCTAGATGATAATGGAACTAAAACATACCTTAAGAGCCTGCTCCTTAAAAAAGGCCAGAGCATAAGCAAAAATATCCAGAGCTTTCACCTTTTTCCCATTGGCTGCATGTAAATCTGTATCGATGGACAGATTCTGAAGAAGACAAAATGACAGTAACACCTCTCAGAAACAAGAAAGAGCATGACATGTCAATCAAAATGTATCTATACACTTTATAGACTTATCATCTCATTCCCAATGAGGAAAATATAGTTTAGAGCAGGTGTGTCAAACTCAGTTCCTGGAAGGCCGCAGACCTGCAGAGTTTAGTTCCAACCCTGCTCCAACACACATACCATGTAGTTTTCAAATAAGCCTAAATGATTAGATTAGCTGGATCAGATGTGTTTAATTAGGGTTATATCTAAACTGTGCAGGGCTGTGGCCCTCCGTGAACTTTTCACACCCTGGGTTTAGAGATTTATGTTAAATGTAATAAATTAGAAAACTCTAATAAAAATAAATTAGTATTATTTCAGTTTCATGAAGCTTTGATTGGTTAACCTGTTAGTAATGAGTTATTAATGTGCTTGCAGTACTTTTTATACAAGTTATGCGGTAGTGGTAATTTTTGAATATATCAGGCATGAAGCATATTTTAAGAGAAGTCCTCACACTTATGATCAGTAATTTCCTTAACACGTAAATGTGCTGGGACACGAAGTCCCCTCAGGTCCAACAATAATAAAAAATCCATACTGTATGAGTTTGTCCTTACTGCAGTGGTGTGTAGTTTCATTTTAAACTTCTCCAGGTAGAGCCATTGCTTAGACTCAGTGGGATCCAGGTCGTGGTAAAAATCTCGGGCTGCATAACCAAAACTGTGAAACTTCCTGTCTGGGGTCAGAAGAATGGTGGTGGGCGTCTTCTGATTGGACACACCTGGGTCCCCACCCTCCCAGCGCCTAGCAACAAAGGGAAATCAACCAATGAGTTTTACAAAGATCTAAAGGGATCAGCCAGGAAATAATTCCACTGGGCAGAATTTGGAACTGCTATAGCTTTTCACCTCTTCTCCTAATTAGGAGAGACCTGACCAAAGATGACCTAAAATATCACTCAACCCAACAGAGTATCATCATCCTCATTATCCATATCGAGGCAGACATAAAACCAGCACAGGCATCGTACAGAGTCAGAGGCATTTAAAATATTCATGGGCTTTTACTTCCAGGACGAGGCACAGAACTATGGAAGCATATAGGTAGCGAAATTCAATTTAAAATGCAATATGCAAAACGGCAATGCAATATTCAAAATGGCAATGTATTTCTGTATTTAAATTTACATTTTCCATTACCCATACGTGCAAAGTTTGGTGCAAAAGTAAAATGAAAATTAAATTTTATAATTTACATTTGCCATTTCCAACAGTAGTCTTAATATGTAAATTGCATGCACATTTGAACGCTTGAGAAATGCTTCACTTTCATTGCGAAATGAAAATGAAAATGTATAACACAAATTGATTTGATATGTGTAACATGTTCAAGCAGAAATGGTAGCAATATGATTTAAATGCATTTAAATGCAATTTGTCCTAAATACATTTAGACTAACAGTTAGAACACTTAGGATTGCATTTTCATCATGACGACGAGGGATACTTGTAGCAAAATTCAATTTGAAAATGCATTCCAAGCTGACCACGCCCACCCTCCGTCAATCATTGCTTCAAGGCAGGGACTGGCGGAAGCGAAATTTTCATTTTACTTTTGCGACAAACTTTGCACGTATGGGTAATGGAAAATGTACATTTAAATACAGAAATACAATCCCATTTTGAATATTGCGTTGCCATTTTGAATATTGCATTGCCATTTTGCATATTGCATTTTAAATTGAATTTCGCTACCTATATGCTTCCATACAGAACAAGCAGCCTGACTGTCTGAACTGACATAGAGAGAATCACATATGCCAAAATGATCATAATAGAGAAATGACTTCATACACCCTATAATAATTAAGTGATGTCATAGATCCACTAAAATTATACTGAGACCAACCAGTAAAAATTATTGAAAAAATGACAATGTAGCTATTCAAAAATGGAAAAAGTTAATTCTGAGAAAAGGATATCATGTTTGCTGCTTGCTTTAATATTTGGTTATGTTATGCACTAAAATTTATACATATTAGATGTCTACATATATATTGGGGGCACTGTATAACCAGCATTGCATCAAGTCAATTGGCAATTATTGGCATAGTTGTAACAGTCCATAAGGTTTCAGTTTATCAGGGTTAATCATTTTGGTCTCTGTAAACAAACAAAAAAATTATTAAGGAATTCTGTGGAATCAGGACAGACAGGGAGTCGATCCTTTCATCCTCTGTTAACCAACTCAAAGCAGCTGTCTTCTTGACTCTAAACAGATTTAGCACAAGAGTTTTGTGAGTTTTTAAAAGGGAAGCTGTGTTTATGTAAAGATTAAGGGACTAGACTACCAGTCCAACCCAAATAATCTCAAAGGCCTTGGGTTTTTTGTGTTGGGTGTGTAAATCTCTAGCAGCAGATAAACCACAATTTGAATTAACCAGACTGAAGGAAGGCACTGGTCTTTCAAGAGAAGGGCAATCTCCCACTCAACTGTGTTGACTCAATCATGATCCTATATGAATGTTTTAACCATGAACAAATTAATGCCAAGAGTGCTTGTCAGAGCTAAATATATCTGTTTACATATAATAGCCTTCATGTTTCAATGGAAAACACTATATTCAATTTTATTCATATCTTTATTTACACTCGAACTTTTATCTTTTATTCAAATATGTGAATATATATAGTGAGGACACTGTCTATAGATGTACTTGTGCTGTTTAACAAATAATCCTATTTCTAACTTTCACAATGAATCTGATGCCTAAAATTAAGCCCACATGCCTGTTTGGGCGGGAAACACGTGGCTGACTCTGCCCAACAGGTACTCTGGAGAGCTGACCTTAGAGTCAAAGGTCACATGACCAAGTAGGTCAGGCCAGGAATACAGAGCAGCTGTGGGTTTACCCTAGTATACAACACACACAGACACACACTAATGTTAGACAGTTCGGACTAGGGGTGGGCGATATACTGGTAGACACGTTTAACCGGTAGAAATTTGTCAACCAGTAGAGATTTTGTACAATTGTCTCTATCGTGGTTACATGCTCACGTGACGTTGCTGTGCCACGTGGTCATGAAAACTTATCGTTTGCATGCGTCTTTAAGCATTAAGGTTTAAAAACAAGTGATTTTAAGCTGTTGAAATGCAATTAGCAGCAAAAGAGAACTCATTTCGCTATATGCGCGAGCTGTCTGAGACAATTTCTGAGCGCTGTGAAGACAGTGCTCATAGAGCAAGGGAGTACTTAACAGAGTTATTTTTGCCTCTTTATAGGCCTTGAACGATTAAATACACACACTTTTATGTGTCAAAATGCCTGTCTTTTGCAAGTATCCTCGTAAACACAGTAGGTCTTAAGTGAAAGCAAACAGCTGAGAAAGAAAACACATGAGTAGCAGTATATTGGAACCCGGGCAGCTCTTAAAGTGACAGCAGTGTCTGTCATTCACGTTAATCAAACAACAAATGAGAGAAAATCTCTCACTACTATTGACTAAATCACTTTTGTAACTTTAATAATAAGAAATATATATTCAATTTACACAGTGAAGAATATGCAGTTTCTATACATTTGACTTTATACAATGTACAGTATGTAGCATTTATTATTTATTTGTTCTACTGTAGATTTTTTGTCCTATTGCTAGTAATTAGCAGTGTTGGGGAAAGTTACTTTTAAAAGTAATGCATTACAATATTGCGTTACTCCATAAAAAAGTAATTATAAAAATATAAAAGCCTTTTCACACCAAAAGTGAAATGAATACGCCTCAGGCTGAAGGGAAAGTACATTTACGTCCATACAGAAGAGTGCAGAAGAAGACATTTCAACACACTTCAGCAATAAACAAAGACACAAATGTTTGGCTAGAGTAATTTTTGCTTATTAGTACGGTTGAACTGAATCATCAAAGACATTGGTTAATAGAATGGGATTAAATACATAAAGAATATTTGTGTTGTTTAACATTTAATTATTGCAGGTTTGCGTTATATTCTGAGTTGCATTATTTTTATTCATTTTGAGGAATACAGAACCTGTCTTGTATTTTTTTTAGATGAATTAATGCATATTCATATTTATTTTAGAACTACAGTAACATCTTCTGATTTCTCTCAACATGGGGACAGGAGAGCTGTCAATCAATAAATTGGGGGGAAAAAAGTAACTTGCGTTACTTATTTGAAAAAGTAACTCAGATATTCTCTTGTAAATTAAAAAGTAATGCGTTACTTTACTAGTTACTTGAAAAAAGTCATCTGATTACGTAACTCGCGTTACTTGTAATGCGTTACCCCCAACACTGGTAATTAGTTTCTCATTCTTATTTAATCGCTGACTGTTTACTTGTCTTTAGTGAGCTTAAAGGCACAATATGTAATTTTCGCCGATAGAGGGCGCGTATTCAAAAAACAAAAAGACATAGGCGTAGTTTGATGACGCCGTGACTGAGTGTGGAATCATGAAAGTTCTGTTATAATGCTACTCTGTGCGGTCGTCATCGGTCTATTAAAACGCACAAAATATTAAAGCATCTTTGGTGTTTCCATGGTGTTTCTACAAAACAACAAAAAAATTGAAATCAAGGGGTTATGACGTCATTGGCAGGCGACACAATGACACTATGGACACGGTCCGTGTCACTAGTTAAAATTGCTTCTCTGGATTTAAACATTCTTCGTAACATTTGGGATAATGTAAGTACACAAGTCAGCAAAATATATAACACTGTTCTAGTGGTTTTTGGATATTTTAATAAAAAAAATATTAAATATTGTGCCTTTAAGTTTTTTTTTTTCTTCTTTAAAAAAAAAATAAGTTTAGGCTAGTATTAGTTTTTTGTGATATTGACACTGGTGACAAGAATCATCAAATCAAATTTCTATGGTATCAAAAATTTTGATATCAAAAAAGACATTTACATTACATTTACATTTAGTCATTTAGCAGACACTTTTATCCAAAGCGACTTACAAATGAGGACAATGGAAGCAATCAAAATCAACAAGACAGCAAAGATATGCAAGTGCTATAACAAGTCTCAGTTAGCTTAATGCAGTACACGTAGCAAGGTTTTTGTTTTGTTTTGTTTTTTTAATTATATAATAAATAAAAAGAAAACAGATAGAATAGGAAAAGAATAGAGCAAGCTAGTGTTAGAGGTCATTTTTGCTTTTGTTAATTGTATAATAAATAAAAAGAAAACAGATAGAATAGGAAAAGAATAGAGCAAGCTAGTGTTAGAGGTCATTTTTGCTTTTGTTAATTGTATAATAAATAAAAAGAAAACAAATAGAATACAAAAAGATAAGAGAAGTTCGGTTTTTTTTTTTAAAGAAAACAAGCAGTTAGTAAATTGAAGGTCCCATATTGTCAAAACTGAAATTTCCTGGCTTTTTTCACAATTACTGAGGTCTAGGGGCTATTTAACTACCATATAAGTTTCAAAACAGTCAGTCCACAGTAACATGCACACAGCCTGCTTAAAGTTCTAGATATTTTTCACGAACCGTTGTGACTTCCGGAAAAAATTGACGTCATAACTACACAGTCACCGCCTTCAGTCACCACCCCGAGCACCACCTACAGTCCCACTCTCCTTTTGCCAAACCCCCAGACAACATCAAGTCCATGCTATTGCTGAGCAACAACAACACGGAAACATGTCGAAAAGGTTAACTTTAACCACAAAACCAGATCGGCCGGCCTATAACGTTACATGTTATACTCAAAGGATGGACGATCTGACAGGATTGTTACTATGAGGTGGATCACATCTAACCTGTATAGTAAAGACAAACTCACGGTGTCTATCTAGTCATGATGTATATACAGTGGGTATGGAAAGTATTCTGACCCCCTTAAATTTTTCACTCTTTGTTATATTGCAGCCATTTGCTAAAATCATTTAAGTTAATTTTTTTTCCTCATTAATGTACACACAGCACCCCATATTGACAGAAAAACACAGAATTGTTGACATTTTTGCAGATTTATTAAAAAAGAAAAACTGAAATATCACATGGTCCTAAGTATTCAGACCCTTTGCTCAATATTTAGTAGAAGCACCCTTTTGATCGAATACAGCCATGAGTCTTTTTGGGAAAGATGCAACAAGTTGTTCACACCTGGATTTGGGGATCCTCTGCCATTCCTCCCTGCAGATCCTCTCCAGTTCTGACAATACTTTATTGAACCTTTTCTGATAAGAAGTGTGCGCTGCAAACACGAGCATGTTTGACGATCCTTTCTGTCCAGTCTGCTCGTTTTATCGCGGTTAACCACAGCTGTCGTCGTTTTTTTTGTCTGGCAGTTGCAGCAGATATGCGATCAAATTTCTAATATGAGGCTGTATTATGTCGATTCTGGGACCCAACATCACAACAAGATGATATTTTAAGCTCCTTATGTAGCTGAACCTGCGCTCAGTGCGCTGGTTTGAATGGGCCTTTTCCCCTTTGTTTTGCTGCCTCCAGCTAGCACTGTGACGTCGCTGACCCTAGTTACCTGTGGTTGGCCTGGCCGTGCGTCACTCAGAAAACAACAGGCCAATCAGAAGAGAGACTCATGAATATTAATTAGACAGACCAAAATCGACCTGTTCTCAGCAGAGCTCCTGAGAGAGGAGCTGTAAAAATATATTGAGATGGTTTCTGGTACTTATACCACAAATATATATTCTTAAGGACATCAAAACCTCAAATAAAACTCCAGAAAGGTGTACATTATGGGACCTTTAATAGAGTGCAAGTCTAAAAGGGCCAAGTTTTTTTTAAAGAATAGAATTAGAATAGAGAGTGCTAGAGTTAGAGTGTCAAATAAAGATGGAAGAAATGTGTTTTTAGCCGATTCTTGAAGATGGCTAAGGACTGAGACTGCTCGGACTGAGTTGGGCAGGTCATTCCACCAGGAAGGAACATTTAATTTAAAAGTCAGAGAAAGTGATTTTGTGCCTCTTTGGGATGGCACAATAAAACAACGTTTACTTGCAGAACGCAAGCTTAGAGGGCACATAAGTCTGAAGTAATGAATTTAGGTAAAGGTGGTGGTGGTTTTGTAGGCAAACATTAATGCCTTGAATTTTATGTAAGCAGCTATTTGTAGCCAGTGCAAATTGATAAACAGAGGTGTGACATGCATTTTTTTCGGCTCAATAAAAATTAATCTTGCTGCCGCGTTCTGGATTAATGTAAAGGTTTGATAGAACTGACTGGAAGACCTGCCAAGAGAGCATTGCAATAGTCCAGCCTGAACAGAACAAGAGCTTGAACAATGAGTTGAAGCATGTTCCGAAAGAAAGGGCCTGATCTTCTTGATGTTGAATAAAGCAAATCTGCAGGACTGGGCAGTTTTAGCAATGTGGTCTGGGAAAGTCAGCTGATCATCAATCATACACTATTAAAAATAAAGGTGCTTCACGATGCCATAGAATAACCTTTTTGTCTAAATGGTTCCATAAAGTACCTTTAACATCTGAAGAACCTTTCTGTTTCACAAAAGGCTCTTTAGGACGAAATAAGGTTCTTCAGATTACAAAAAGGTAAGAAAGAGATGGTTCTTTAAAGAACCTTTGACTGAATGGTTCTTTGTGGAACCAAAATTGTTCTTCTATGGCATCGCTTGAAGAACCTTTTGAAGCACCTTTATTTTTAAGAGTGTAACTCCAAGGTTTCTGTCTGTTTTTGAAGGAGTTATGGTTGATGTGCCTAACTGGATGGTGAAATTGTGATGAAACGATGGGTTTGATGGAACCACAAGCAGTTCTGACTTGGCAAGGTTGAGTTGAAGGTGATTGTTTTAAAGCAAAAATAACTATATAGTGATATATATTGTTACCGTGAAATAAAATTACTCATATCGTAATATAAGATTTTGGTCATATCGCCCACCCCTATTTCAGACCAGTATATACACAGTGGGACTGTATATATCTAATAATTTTTAATGGGGCATCTTAGTGCCCAGAAAGAAAGACGCCTGTGTGTTTGACTGAAATAGAGACATGACTGTATGACTGTCTGACAATCATATTAATGTCTACAGAAGAGTGCAGCGTCTATGCAGAGTAACTAGAAAAGGTAATCGGTTACTCGGTTACTCAAAAAAAAACAATAATATAAAATTATATAAAATTACTTTTAAAATTATATAATTATTAAATTAATTGTATAATTTATTTTAATAAAAAAACTAAAAAAAATAGAAAAATTATTACTTTAAAATTTTTTATTTTTATATATAAATAGATTTATTTTATTTTAACCCAATAAAATCACATGCAAAAAAGAAAAAAGAAAAAAGAAAAAAAGTCTCCCCCCACTCCCTCTCTCTGCGCCTTTTGTCTCACCTCATAGTGTGAATGCACTCTGGCTCTTTAGTGAAGGCATATGCATAGCCACTGGAGGTGGTGCCAAAGTCGATGGCCACCACCACCACATAGGGGTGTCTCGTAGGCTCATTTTCTTCGGAGTCCTTCTGTAGAAAGAAAAGAGGGAAAAGAAGCAGAGGGAAAATGAGGGATATGGAACGAGGAAGAGAGATGCTGTCACGTATATGTCAAGCACTAAATTGTTGCATGTAATTGCAGCTCAGATACACTATTAAAAATAAAGGTGCTTCACGATGCCATAGAATAACCTTTTTGTCTAAATGGTTCCATAAAGTACCTTTAACATCTGAAGAACCTTTCTGTTTCACAAAAGGCTCTTTAGGACGAAATAAGGTTCTTCAGATTACAAAAAGGTAAGAAAGAGATGGTTCTTTAAAGAACCTTTGACTGAATGGTTCTTTGTGGAACCAAAATTGTTCTTCTATGGCATCGCTTGAAGAACCTTTTGAAGCACCTTTATTTTTAAGAGTGTAACTCCAAGGTTTCTGTCTGTTTTTGAAGGAGTTATGGTTGATGTGCCTAACTGGATGGTGAAATTGTGATGAAACGATGGGTTTGATGGAACCACAAGCAGTTCTGACTTGGCAAGGTTGAGTTGAAGGTGATTGTTTTAAAGCAAAAATAACTATATAGTGATATATATTGTTACCGTGAAATAAAATTACTCATATCGTAATATAAGATTTTGGTCATATCGCCCACCCCTATTTCAGACCAGTATATACACAGTGGGACTGTATATATCTAATAATTTTTAATGGGGCATCTTAGTGCCCAGAAAGAAAGACGCCTGTGTGTTTGACTGAAATAGAGACATGACTGTCTAATGGATAGACAATCATATTAATGTCTACAGAAGAGTGCAGCGTCTATGCAGAGTAACTAGAAAAGGTAATCGGTTACTCCAGCAAGAAAAAAAAAACAATAATATAAAATTATATAAAATTACTTTTAAAATTATATAATTATTAAATTAATTGTATAATTTATTTTAATAAAAAAACTAAAAAAAATAGAAAAATTATTACTTTAAAATTTTTTATTTTTATATATAAATAGATTTATTTTATTTTAACCCAATAAAATCACATGCAAAAAAGAAAAAAGAAAAAAGAAAAAAAGTCTCCCCCCACTCCCTCTCTCTGCGCCTTTTGTCTCACCTCATAGTGTGAATGCACTCTGGCTCTTTAGTGAAGGCATATGCATAGCCACTGGAGGTGGTGCCAAAGTCGATGGCCACCACCACCACATAGGGGTGTCTCGTAGGCTCATTTTCTTCGGAGTCCTTCTGTAGAAAGAAAAGAGGGAAAAGAAGCAGAGGGAAAATGAGGGATATGGAACGAGGAAGAGAGATGCTGTCACGTATATGTCAAGCACTAAATTGTTGCATGTAATTGCAGCTCAGTGTAAATAAGATGTAATGTAACGGGTGACGTCATGCTGCCAATAAAAAGCAGAGCTCACCAGTATGTGTGTGGGGGAAAGTGGCGTGATGCCTGGGTCGCCCATACTCTTGGCTGGAGATGGAGTGGCCATTGCATCTGCAAAGTGAAAGAAAGAAAGAAAGAAAGAAAGAAAGAAAGAAAGAAAGAAAGAACAGTGAGAAACCAAACATTCAAACTACAAAGACAAACCTACAGACATGTTAATAATTTTGCTTATAGAGCTTGTGGTAATACTAATAAATGTAAATGTTTTAAGGACTTTATGTTTGCCTTTATACAAGAAATTTTCTTTTCACTGTTGGGTTGTCCGTTGAGAAACACTGGATTATGTTGTGGCTGTATTAAGGTGCCATTACCAAAATTTCAGCAACATTTTGGCAATTTATTGTCAGTACTACAATGTATGAAGTACAGCTCAGAAAGAAGAATCAAACCAAGCAGCATTCTTTTGCTGAAGCCACGTTACGAACTTGAACCTGTTGCTAAATCTTTTGCGAAATTCCTGTGAGGATTCCTATTGAAATTACTGGATTCCCTTGAAATTCACTGAACCACAGTAAATGTGGCTGAACATTAGTCTATCAGCATATAGTCTGATGTTTCACACAATTATAATTATAACAGGTTCTTGATGTGTATGTTTTTTTCTGGACGCATGCATGTTTCTCGGTTTTGTGTTGGGTCACTTGTAACTGGTTTTATTTTTTTGCCCTAAAGAAACTATAGTTACCATACTTTTTTGTAAATGAACACCTCACCAATGCCTAACTTCAGAAACACACTCAAAATCCATTTAAATGGCGTCGAAAGCACTCTAGGGCTCAGTTTCATTGGCACAGAGGGAGAACAGGCCTAAGTGGCACCATCAATGGTGATTCTTCACTAGAAATTATTTTCAGTGGGAACGAGACTTAAAAGCCTCAATTAATGTTCAACGAATTTGTCTGAAAGACCATTCATTTGGCCATACTTTTTTTTTTATATATAACATCGCTTATGTCTAACATTTTACATTATTTGGTCATAAAATCATCAAAACCTTTAAGAGCTTTAGACCACTACAGCAACAGCTGCTCCCCTCCACACTGACATTTGAATCGAATTAGAGGTTGTATTTGTCCATTCCCGTCGTCCTCATTAGCTGGGCCTAATAGCTTCACTAAAACACTCAGATGCTGAGCACCCTGAATGCTAAACGAGCGTCCGGGTTCCTCGCTCCGCGGGACGCCACGTTTTTCTGAGCGTTCTTCCTTTTTTACCCGCCTTTACCCCATACTGAGCGGCGAAGTGAACAGAATGAGCGTGGTGCTCTTCAGCGAGTAATTATGGGTTGAGTGACTGGCTACCTGCGGCTCGCACTTAATTTCAACCACTCCACGCATACACGCGCTCCAGCTACCGAGATTGATTTTAAAATGGGACAATGGAACATCAATATCGAAGGAGTAAAATGATTGTCTATAATGATAAATGCTTATAAGTGAAGTGTTATTCAGAAACACACACTTGACCGTCTTTTTATACTTTTCTACGAATGGATTTGTGGGTTAAAGGAACTTAAGTTTGTTTACATGGCAACATGGCTCACTGTACGGGGACTTTATTATAACACATTAAAGTTGCACGAGTCACAGAGAATCTAAACATGTGCTGGAATTGGAAAGCAGAAAATGGGCATAAATGGTGGAAAATTACTTGCATTATGGCCAAAGTGCAAAACGGACCAATTCCTTTGATTTTCCTGCTGTTTTAAAGACTTATTTACACAGAAGCATGAAAGCGAATTTATCTGCAGTCTGAATAGGTGTGCCACAAATGATTGTCAACAAGAGAAAAAAAAGCACAAATATAATATAATATATATATATCAATTCTTTTACTCAGAATTGGCTGACATAATGAGTTGTTTTAACACAATATCTACAAAATAAGTAAAATGAAATACAGTAAAAAAGAAAAAAGAAAAAATTTTCACAGATACATTATTATTATTATTGGGTAAAATTTTTAATGATTTGCTTGGCAGGTTTTTTGCAAAAGTTCAAATCCAGCTCACATCTGAAGTTTTTGAAAACACTGAACACAAAAGGACTCTTTCAATAAGGCGGTCGTACATGCTAGTACCATTACATATGTGTCGATTCAAGCAGCAAAAATAAACAGAAATCAGAGAGAAGATGGAGAGATGTCGTGAAAAAAGTCGGGTGTCCTGTTTTCACCCCTCCTCTCATCCACATGAGAAAGGGAGTGAATGAACGGGTTCTGGAATGTTATACAAAATTCTGACAGGAAGCAGGAAGAGTCAGAGGTCATACCTCCTCTGTGGAATTACAAATTCAGAGGAATTCCAAGCAGCTCAGTACACAGAAATAATAGAGCTAAGAGACATATGGACCACTGACATGCACAGACAAAAGTGGATTTAGGTCTGGAATCTATTATCTGTAAAATAAAGTAAAGAGAGAGAATCAGAGATCTGATATATTTTTAAATACAATCAATGTCAGCCATATACAGTGGGGCAAAAAAGTATTTAGTCAGCCACCTATTGTGCAAGTTCTCCCACTTAAAAAGATGTTCCTATTTTTATTTTATTTTATTTCATTATTATTATTTTTATTGATAATTGCATAGCCAAAAAAGTTATGTCATTGGAATTTTTTTCTGCCATTTTCAAAAACCATTCCTCCTTTTCTTTTTCCCCCACTCCTCATTGAGGAACTTTTACTTCCTATGAGGTCACATGCCTCAATTCGCCAGACAAAAGAGAATAAAAAGGAAAGAAAAACAAATATTAATATAGAATGACAATATGTCTGATAACGCAGGACAAAAAAATGAAAAGAAAGTAATTATTTTCTTACTCAAAGCAAAAGTCAGCACCGAAGTAGGGCAAATTTGGCAACATTTGGAGAAAAGAAAAAACAGATTAACTGATTTAGATGCAAAATTATTTGCAATATTATAAAGTCCAAACTCATTAATTCCTAATTACAACCTCATTAAACTCCACGTCACCTTAAGAAAAACTTTTCAGTGGCTTTATGTTGAGTTTACATTCATATTCATTAAATCTTCAACAGATCATTACGGGAGCAAATAGGGTATTTGAAGCTATTTTTCTCTTTAGAAGTTCAAACTACAAGTGCCTTCAATCCGGTTAATGATTTTATTCCATGACACACAGAGAAAGGACAAGACAATCCCATCTGTAAAATATTACAAATCTGGATAACGCATACAGTTTTGTTCCATTTTGAATTATTAGATTATTAGATATTAAATCAAATCTCACCATGCCTGAGACAAATGGCTGCTTACTCTGTAACTTTTGGTTTGAATGTTTTCCAAAAATAATAAACAAATGCAGAGATAGAGAAAATATAATCTATCATGATGTCAAGTTGAGAATTCCATGGTAAGTGAAACCAGAACAGGAAAAGGGAAAACATAAAATGTATGCATATCTCAAGCTGTAAAATAAGTGTTTTTGATAAATTTTATTAGATTGTATTACTCACTAGAACTTTCCAATTAATTCTGTGTGAACATTACAGTCTACGGCTGATTTTTTAGGCCAAAGCTAAACACACTGAGCTCAAGTTATATACTCCAGCTAAACAAGCCGCACATAGCTATCGAGGTAAGCCATCTCAAAGAGGGGCCATTGACAGGGCAGGACTGCTCCAGTTCACGTGTATGTGAAGGTCCATTCAGAGACACAGCACTATAAATGCCAAAAACACAGCTGGCCATCCTCTCGCTCACACTCACTGTCTCCAGCTGGCCTTATTCACTCACAAACAAACACCCATACACAAATACACTAATAAACACACACATTCATACACAAACACACATTCCACACACAATGGGAGAGAGAAGCCGCACAACTGCTGCGACTGCTGCAACGTTATTAGTCTATCTATTGGTTAGGGTTGTAAACTTCAGCAGAGGAAAATAAGGGACACTAGCACTTTCTTCATAGGAAAATAACAGACACCATTTCAGATTTAATTTTTTTTTTATACTATCGTTGAGTGCCACAATAACAGACCAATATAAAAATTCTGACTGATACCAATAAATAGATAATAACTGCATGCTATGGCCATTAAACAGCTGATATTAAAATTCTGTAATATTTATTTAAAATATATTACAAATAAATTAAAATATGTTATTTTAAATGCTGCAAGTGAACCTAAACATCGCAATGTTATAATATACAGAACGGAAAATGGATATTCATCTTGAGATTACATTAAACAGAGTTATTAGATTATCAGTAATATTAAAGATGAACGTTAAGTGAGCATTAAAAATGACACATTAAATGTAAAAATAGTAGAAATGAGCACAAACTAATTGAATATCCAATATATTGGCCAAGACACCATTACACACAAATCCATTTTACATAGCTTTTACCTAGGAAAATTTGACTATTAGATGTTAAAATACAATACAAACTACATTCCATATGCATTTACTATAGATAGAATACAATTCTGTTGGCTTAAATATGAGCTGATTCTGTTTGATATGGGACATAATGATCTGAGAGTTTTAGTCTCAGACAGGCTAAATAAATAATACGAAAGAATGCATCTGTAGGAGTTCCTCTCATCTCATAATGCTGGAATGTGACATTTGGAGAAAAACTAGAGGGTTTGGAGAGTGCAGAAATCTCCCATTACATTACCAAAGACATAGAGCAGTCGAGTGTTTCGACATCTGCATCTACAACACCGTCACACCCCTAAACCGCAAGCCATAAATCATAAATAGCATTACAAGTGCTTTTAAGACTGTTTGGAGGGGCATATGACGCATCATCTCACCCCAACAGTCTCCTCCCAAATCAATGCCAGTGCCCCACTACCTCAGAGACACATGATACATAGGAATACTGAGAGAAGGAGCAGAAAGAGAGAAAGCATTGATTTTTGCAGCGCTGAATAGAGCTGTAACCAGCAGTCATCTACACAACAGAGCAGCTTTCTCTTTGCAAACGTCATACCAATCAAGTTGAGAGATCAGAGTCACTTGTGAACTCGGCAAGATCCAGCAGCTGTGTCAGTCAAATGGAGCTA